GGATGAATTATTTTGTTGATGTGGGTTCAGCTTCAGTTACTCCTGTTTCCTTATTGTGCTTTACCCTTTCCTTCACATGCCCAGACTTCTATACATTTATCCAGTTTTAACCTTTTCCTTCCCCATTTTCTTCCATCTCTTCATTGTTCTCTAATGGCCTCAATTCCTGTGCCCGAATGTTGTATAGTACTTATTGTAGATGAAGAGGTGGCCCAGGATGACCCCAAAAGCTCACTTGTTATTTTAGGGAAGCAGGAAAGGCAAGGCACATAATTTCCTAAATAACACAGCCCTGGGAGCTTGAGGCTCAAAGTGCTCCAAGGCTTATTGATTTTGTTAAAAAGTGCCTTTGGAGGCATATTACTGTAAAGATTGAAAGGTAAAAACCCTAGTTCATGCTGGGCAAGGATATGAATTGAAAGAACTCTGCTTTGATTTTGCCAAGAGAGAGGTCATTACTGACTATGGCCAGAATGTAAGATAAAAGGAAAATGCTAAAAGAAAGAAACTGAGGAAATGCCAGGGCCAATTGATTAAACAGCTTAGGTAATAAAACTTTCCCACAATTGTCTGTTTTCCCCTTCTAGTTTCCTCTACCCTGATTTTTCCTTCTCTCCATAGGGACTTTATCTCACACTGCCCCCCCCCCCCCAAATTTCTAAACACTTATAATTAATTGAGGGTACAATCTATGACAGAGCCCTTCCCACAATGCAGGGGATCCTCCCGTCAGTGTCCATCACAGTTTGTTAGGGAAACATCTGAAATAGTCCAAAAAAAGGAAGCAGGGAGAAGAGGTCAGACATCGTCTTCCCCAGTTATATCCCAGTTCCTGAGTCCAGAAAACATCGAAAACCATGTGAAATAGGAGCTGTCAAATTTGCCCAGGTTGAATAGCTTCAGTGACGTTGAGTAAGGGACACTCCTATGGGCAGTTTGCTACCAAGCATTTATTTATTTATTTGTTTATTTATTTATTTATTTACTATATTTTTATCCCATCCTTCTCAACCCCAAAGGGAATGCCCTTGTCCCCACCAACCGCACCTGCAAAGGAGGTGGGACTGAGAGCACGGCCTCCTTAGACAATTTTAATCTCTGACTTTTGACTTTTTTCTCCCAAAAATCCTGCTTCATGAGCCTGGCATGGTAATTTTTGTAAAGTCAGGTTTCCCCTCAAGTGGAGTCTGATGTAAGATCAGCTGCTTGAGTCTACTGTAGAGCAATGGGATCCGAGGGGGAAGTCAAGTATCCCATATACTTTCCCCACAAGATTTTTTTTTGAAAAATGGAGTGGGTGGGGATTACACTGGCTCATGGGATAAATCTAAAAACTGATAATTTCAGTAAAACTGGCAAAAAACAAACAAACATGTGAATAGGAATGAGAAATGGAAGGATGTCCTTTATAATGCTATGAGACATAACACCGCAGTAATATGATGCTTCCTCACCACTGGGTTAGAGTTGTAAATCCCATAAACAACAACAACAACAACAACAACAACAACAACAACAACAACAACATACTTTATTTATATTCAGCTCTATCTCTCAGAGGAGACTCAGAGCGGATTACAGAACACAGACATGGTAAACATTCAATGCCAGTATACAATTAACAAAGACAGACAGTACATAGACAGAGGCAAGGCTTCTGTCTTTTTCATTTCTAAGATCTGGAGGCTATGCTCGACTCGGCCATGAGGAGGTGGTGTTGTTCCATTTTCCATGCCAAGGAGCCTGTTGTCCATGGACCCCTTCCTGATCGAATTGCCGGCATGACTTTTTCAGGGGCGCCTTTTTATCTCCCTGCCAAAGTGGTACCTATTGATCTTCTCACATTGCTGTTTTCGAACTGCTAGGTAAGCAGAAGCAAGGGCTGAAGTGGAAGCTCACCTCGACCCGCAGCTTTAACTTATCACCAACATGCTCATGGTACAAGTGTTTGGGGAAGAGTTCATGCTGTTAGTCCACTGATCTGGTTAGGATTGGGACTTGGGAGATCCAGATGCAGTCCCCACTGTGACACGAAACTCAGTAGGCTATCTTAGTATATGAGTCTTGCTTGACCAGAATTTGAAAGAGACCTCTACTATAAAAAATTATTCTTTCTAGACATTTTTTAGTCCTCCAGCACAATTCTATGGTATGTTTTCACCAGATGCAATTGATTTCACTATTATATCCACTTTTCCATGTTTTCACAGTTATTCCAGAAATTTATGGGGGTCATACTGTATCTGCTTCCTGAGGCAACCGACTCACTACTTTGTTTCAGGAGTGTAACTTCTGTAGAAATGGTTCATCATCAGGCTCTGCTGATTGTATTGGTTTTCTTCCTGAGGGACTGTTCTATGCACTCATTTACATTTGATGCAGCATTCCCAAATGAAAGCACAGCGCCATTTGAAGATGAGTTCAGAGATGCTGAAAATTTAATAACTATTTCAGTAAATGGTTACAAGGAATAAACAAACTAGAAGTGTTGTACTTGTGTTTATTTTATCATTGCAATCCTATATGTGTCTACTCAGAAATAAACACGATTATGCTTAATAGTGTTTATTGTGAAGTATGTATGTATGAGATTGCAGTTGTATTTTTGTATAGAGTATATTGAACTCGTTAATTTCTCAGTTGGGGGAAACATAAGGGATGTAGTATGTAGTAGATTTACGGTCACAAGATTTGTCATAAATATTGGACACAAATATTAATAACCATATCTTTCCCAAGAGAACACCGAGTGGAAGGACATTCCACACTTGGTAGCTAGTCAGCATCAATTAATTGGGCCATATATTGAAGGGATTAGAGTGTCCTCATTTCTTCTTGCCATGCCTTGGAGCATAAAGCACCAACAAGTAAAATTAGTCAGATGTCATTTTCTAAGATTCTAAGCCAGGCATTTGAACTGCTATCTCTGGTTCATCAACCAGATAAATGATGCTTGCCACGTGAATGGAATTTAATATGCAGTAAAAGAATCAGTCCATCACATGGTGCTTAAGTAGGAGATTTAATCATAATTTAACCTGACCAGTAAAAGCCCATGCTTGAAAGGAAATTCTATTGTATTTTAAACAACGATAATAGGGGGGGAAAATCACTGCTTAGGTTGTCAAATTGCTTAAGCTATGTGATACCATTTGCCTCTAGGCATCTTCAGGTCAACTATATAAGGTAGGTCCATATCATTCCTTGTATTCAAGCAAATCCTTTTGGAAAGGCATGGCCTTGTTAGAAATCATAACCTTTTGCAAAACCACTGGCCACATAACCCTTTGAAAATGGCATTCACAACCATTTGGGAAAAAACATCCTGGGAAGAGTTAAAACTTGCTTGAGTCAATCTTCTCCTTAGTGGTAAATATCCACTAATATTCATGCAAGGCAATGAGGTTTCTCAGCTCAGCTGTTAAACTGATATACCTATATATCTATTTGAACTGTTAGGAACAAAGATATGTCAATGCACTATATATATATATAGAGAGAGAGAGAGAGAGAGAGAGTGCACAGAGTTTCAGAAGTGTTCTCATCAGTTGCCCAATTAAATTCAGAAGTGTTCTCATCAGTCTCCCATTAAATATATTTGCTTTTAAATCATGCTCTCAAGAGACCAAAAATAGTCTTCTTTAAAAGTAATATATTTGGTTTACTCACACGCTTCATGTATTCAGCATATAGGTACTTGACATATCAATCCAGTTACAGATAGGATTTGAAGTAGTTTCTCTGTGCAGGTAAGACAGGACATATTTTTTATAATCTTAACAGTCCAAAGTCTAAAACAGTGGTTCTCAACCTGGGGTCCCCAGATGTTTTGGGCTTACAACTCCAAGAAATCACAGCCAGTTTACCAGCTGTTAGGATTTCTGGGAGTTGTAGGCCAAAAACATCAGGGGACCCCAGGTTGAGAACCACTGCTCTAAAGCATCTCTCTGTTCTGGGGGTCTAATAGCGTTCTCTGTCTTCTAAAGCCTTCTGTTTCTACTAACTTCTAAACTGTACTGTACTGCTTCAGATACAAACACGCTGACTTCTAAAATGGAGTCTGAGTCTGAACAAGTCCAGATCTGATCACATGGTGAGCAGCGCCTCCAACAACAAAAAGTAACAATTAGTATAGGAGGCTTGTAGAAGGTTGCTATTTCCAACAAATCCTGATTTGACATTAAGATACCCATTGATAAATGGCTCTTATTGTTTAAAAAAACATCAAAAGGACCACTGGACTTTCACTGTAGGCCACCAACACAATTTCACTTGGCTTTCTGCATTATCAGAGGATGTTGTGTGTGTTTTCTTGTATGTTTCTCCAACATATTTACAATTTGGCCCTAGCAAATGACCATTGATCAACTTTCTTGCCTTCCAAGAAAGGTAACACTATCACTAGCCTACATTTTGCTTCTTCTGTTCCTTCTGTTGTAACTCAGGTGGTTTGAAGAGATGTTAGTGGGATCCCTTCAAATCCCACTGACAGAAATGAGACTCTTCCAAACCATGCTACAACAGAAAAAAAAATCTGATACAAAATGTAGGCCTGCCATTCTAACATCATCACTTTTCTTCTCCTGTATGATCTTTAATGAAGAAAACAGTGGAGCTTTGAAACCTTGAATTGGGTATTTTGTGCTCTCTGGGTTTTGTATTTTGTTTTATAGCCAACGCAGTTACCCCTGAATAGGTTTGTGAATTTGATAGGTAATTTATTAAACTAGCAAGTTCTGTGTTATTGCCTCAGCAGTGCAATTGTTTCAGCAGAGCAGGGAAACAGGTTTGCATGCTGGAATTTGGTTCCCAGTTTCCTTTTTGTATGTTGCATAACCAGTAAGTGAATCACATGTTTAGAACATTATCTCTGTTATACTATTGACAAAACATGTTTCTAAATGGTTAAGAAAAATGTGAGTAAAACAAAAGTAGGATTGTTTAGTGCCATGTATTTGTGTAGTATTAACCCTCTTTTTTGCCTGAATTATGTCTTTCAGAAAACACCCTTGAGAATGTTTACCTTCAATAGCAAATCCTTGTCATTATGAGCAATTATTTCTGGAGTTCATTCATTAATGTTTCCTTCTTAATTCTCTGGTAAGTATAGCTTCAAATAATGTTTTTACTTACTTGTACATTGCAGGATAACTTATCAACTTCAGGTAGAATACGAGAGGCAAAGAGACACTATGGTCTTATGCTGAACCCTCCAAATATCTTTGTTTTAATGTAATATTATGTTTCAGACATCGTAGTGCAATTCCTGCCTTCACATTTGGACAGTAAAAGGGGAAATCAGCTATAGTTGTGATGATATTTATATAACTGAAAGAAAAAAAATAAAACGGCAGAGAAAAACAAGTAGTACAACTGAAATGGAAGAGGACTACTGCATTTTCACAAAATGGCAGGAATTCCTTTGGTGGTGTTTGTTTACCACTTTAAATGACCATTTAGAGGAATGCTATTGTGTATAATGGGTGAGTGGAGTTTAAATTAATACATTAAATGGCACCAATAATGAACAATGCTGTTTTATGCTGTTTTAATTGTTATTGCTTTATTTTAATTGTATTCTGCCGGGGCTTGGGCCCCATGTAAGTCGCCCCGAGTCCCTTCGGGGAAATGGAAGCAGGGTAGAAAAATAAAGTTCCTCCTCCTCCTCTTCTTCTTCTCCTCCTCCTCCTCCTCCTCCTCCTCCTCCTCCTCCTCCTCCTCCTCCTCCTCCTTCTTCTGTGGTGATAATGACAATTGGAATACAAATGGAATTACATTTCCTTGAAAATCACAGGATTGCACAGGAATATGAGCCAAGGACTTTCATGCTACCCCTCTATTCTGCCTTGCAGGTGTGGTTGGCAGGGACAAGAGACAGGGACTTTCACTGGTGGCCCTGCATCTGTGGAACTCTCTCCCCAGTGACATCAGAACAGCCCCTCACTCTTAAGCTTCAGGAGGCTATTTAAGCAAGCCTTTGGGGATTAATATGACCCATAAGTATGATGGAAGAATGGCAAAGCAGTTGGTTCAATGTTTACAAAGCTCAGTCGGTGCTACACTTTTGATAAGTTTGATATGTTTTAATCATTTGAAAGACTATTTTAATTGATAGGTGTGTACACACACACACACACACACACATATATACATACACACATACACATATTACAGTTTTATAATATTGTGTTTTACTGATATTGTTATTGTCTTAATCTGGCATTGAATTATTGCCATAGCTTGCAAGCCTCCCTAAGTCCCCCTTTGAGGGTGAGAATGACGGGGTATAAGTACAGTAAATAAATAAATAAATAAATAAATAAATAAATAAATAAATAAATAAATGTTGGCTCTAGCATCAGTTTTAAAAAGTTGAGCAAATAGTAAGTCAAATAAACTATCCCAATAAAATCTGCATACATCCACAAAAAATTAAAAACATTTTAAAAATGCCTCTCTCTGTTCCCAATGGTTCTTTGATGCAGTGATTTTGGGATAAAGGGGCCAGGGAGGAATATCTCTCAAATCCATCACAGAGTAGATGAGAATCATTCATGGACCGAATTATGTTCACATGTCCTTCCCTGCAGTTAATAAAAATCAGGTTTATGTCCTATAGTATCATCTTGAATTTGCACAAGGAATACACAGAATTGCTGATTAAACACTACAGTTAAACATATCCTGTGGAATGACATGTTTCAAGATGAGTCCAATGGTATACGTTTCTATGCTTTATGATTAATACCATATTTACTCAAATCTGGTACTCGCCTTTTTAAAGTGAAATGACCTTGCCAAAAATAGGGTGCACATTAGATTTGCATCATACAATAATCTTAGTGCTGAATCAAAACAAAAGGGGAAGCTGCTTCAGGGGCTGCACCTGGAACTCCTCTTTGAGGGATGTAGTCTCTAATAAAATGGCCAGGGCTCAATGCTATGCAATCCTGGGATTTGTAGTGGCACTCATTGGCAGAGAAAGCTCAAAACAGTGTCAAACTACAACCTCCAGGATTCCATAGCATTGAACCAAGGCAATGAAAGTGGATTCATTCTACAGCATAGATGCAACCCAAGGTTTTATTTTCATCACTGAAAGCTTTGGTGTTCTAACACAATGGTTTTAATGTAGGAATTCTAGGCAGGCAGCAACAGTCATGAGCACCTTTTAAAGCCAAATTACAAAGAGCACACTTTTTGCCACTGCACATTTCATTCAGCAGCAAATACTTTTGTTTGGATTTGAAAATTGAGGTGCATATTAGATTCGATGGTGCATTATACTCGAGTAAATATGGGTAATTATCTTAAGCAATAAATTGCCATGTTTCTGATAACACCCAAGTATTTTAATAGATTTCTTATTTTGTTGTGTCTAAGCTCATATCTCCTAGAAGTACAGACTACACGATTTCCTTATTGGGAACCAGTGTTAGAAGATTTAAAACAGATCATTAAAACTCCTCCAAAGGTAAGGTCACATATTAGAAATGAACTAACATGGTGCTCAAAATATAAATACAGTGTGACTTCAAAGAAGAGTAATGGGAATTGTGTTATTATCCATCTCCAAATACTCAATAGATAGCACTTTATTTTGAAAAATGGCCAATGCATTTCGGCCTATGTGTATTCGGCCATCTTCAGGGACAATATAAACTCTGACTACAAGAATTTCAGACTCTGAGAATCTCATTCCAATTGCCGGACAGAAAAGAAAGCAGCAAATGAAATAAGATTCTCATCTCCAGAAATTTCTGCACTTAGATTTCATATTGTCCCTAAAGAAAGCCAGTGAGGTATATACAAGCCAAAACACAATGGGATTTTCCTAAAATAAAGCAATCATCCATTGAGTATTTGGAGATATGTCTCTTTTTTATGGGGGAAAATATCTGGAAGCACAAGGTTTCCCACCTATTTCATTATTATTTAAATAGGATCATAGTCCTTTCCTGCTTTATTAAGAGTAAACCTCAAATAAGTACAACACAACTGAACTTCTGAATAAAGTGCAGAGAGTTGCATTCATTATTTAGTTTAAGAGTTTATAACAAGCACTTTCCAAATTAAATTGTAGTATTTTGTAATTATGGGGTGAAGGCTACATGTGCCTGATGAACAGAAAAGAATCTTGGGGAAAATTTTCTTATAACAAATTTTTCAGAAAACCAATTTCTCTGAAATGCTTTCTGCATGGTTGATGGATTCTAGCATTCACGCCTTGAATATCTCATCTCTGAGGTGACGCAGGGTTTCATCCTGGGCCCGGTCCTGTTTAACATCTTTATTAATGACTTAGAATGATGAAGGGTTAGAAGACACAAATTTGGAGGAACTGGATTTAAAATGAGCTTAACAGATTAGAGAGATGGGCCAAAACTAACAACATGAAGTTCAACAGTGACAAATGCAAGATATTCCACTTAGGCAGAAAAAAATGAAATGCAAAGATACAGACTATAGGGAATGCCTGGATCAATAGCCATATGTGTGAAAAAGATCTTGGAGTCCTTGTGGACAACAAGTTAAACACAAGCCAACAATGTCATGTGGCAGCTAAAAAAGCCAATGGGATTTTGGCCTGCATAAAGAGGAGTCTAGTGTTTGGATCCAGGGGAGTCATGCTACCCCTCTATTCTGCCTTGATCAGACCATACCCCGAATATTGTGTCCAATTGAAGACAGATGTTGACAATCTGGAACATGTCCAGAGGACAGCTACTAAATGATCAAGGGTTTGGAGAACAAGGCCTACGAAGAGTGGCTTAAATAGCTGGGTATGTTTAGCCTGCAGAAGAGAAGGCTGAGAGGAGACATGATGGCTGTGTATAAATATGCGAGAAGTCATAGGGAGGAGGGAACACCTTGTTTTCTGCTGTCCTGGAGACTAGGACATGGAACAATGCCTTCAAACTACAGGAAAGGAGGTTCCACCTGAACATTAGGAAAAAACTTCCTTACTGTGAGAGCTGTTCAGCAGTGGAACTCTCTGCCCCAGAGTGTGGTGGAGCTCCTTCTTTGAAGGCTTTTAAGCACAGGCTGGATGGCTATCTGTCAGGGGTGCTTTGAATGTGATTTTCTTGCTTCTTGGCATGGTTGGACTGGATGGCCCACGAGGTCTCTTCCAACTCTGATTTTATGACATCTGGATCCAACACTCAAATCACCACAACAAGCTGACTCTCTTTTGTTGCTTATATAGAAATTTCTTTATCTTTTTAGATTGATACTTCATTATATACTGCAAGCTACTTTGTAAGTAAATTTCATACATTTTAAATCTTTTATAAAATTGGTTATATACAGCTTTCATATACAGTAGAGTTTCGCTTATCCAACCTTCGTTTCTATATTATCCAACGCAGTCTGCCTCCCACCCAGATCCACAGCTGTTTCAATAGATTGCAATGTTTTGGTAATGAATTTGCAAATACCGTAATTACTACATAATGTTACCATGCATTGAACTGCTTTTTCAGTCTGTTTGTAGTAAAACATGACATTTTGGTGCATAACTTGTAAAATCATAATGTAATTTGATGTTTAATAGGCTTTTCCTTAATCCTTCCTTATTATCCAACATTTTCGCTTGTCCAATGTTCTGTTGGCCCATTTATGTTGGATAAGCGAGACTACTGTAGTACCATTTATTGTGTTAGGTGAGAGTTGTCCACCAATCCTACTGTTCTACTAGTTGTGAAAGCCTTCTTGATGTCCTGTCTGAGATCCTTTCTTCCAATAATTCCACAACTAAGCACCACAACCCTTCAACCACTTTTGCCACTGCAGAAACCGTGGATGAGAATTTAAATAATAATGTTAGTTTTAAATTCCTAGGGACAGAGGCGTATTATAAAAAAAAATGATCCAGAAGTACAGCACACAGTTAAAATGTAGTTATTTAACACATCTAAATCCTAAATGACTCTACTATTTCCTTGTCCCTTAATAATCCTAGCCTTACCGTACTAATTGCCCTGAGTCCAACTAAATCTCATTTTGCTCTCAACTAATTCTAATCTCTCCCTCTTTCAGACTGACATTTTAAACATCTAATTAAAACAACCAACCACACCCACAGCCAACATTACATATCCTTACCCCCTAAAATTCAGAATAAAGCAGCCAAGTTGCTGTTAACTAACAGAGATGCCTTTTGGGAGCATGTACTGGTATAACAGCGATGGCAGCTGATTTAGGCCCCTTCTACACTGCCATATAAAATCCAGATTATCATCTTCGAACTGGATTATATGGCTGTGTAGACTCATATAATCCAGTTCAAAGCAGATAATGTAGATTATCTGCTTTGATAATCTAGATTATATGGCAGTGTAAATGGGGCCTTGTTTCTGGGCTCAATTTAAAGTACTAAGGATAGCCTTTCCTGCTTTGGGACAGGGTCCTTCCTTATGTCCCACGGACCTCTGAAATATAAGATAGGGTGCCCTCCCTAGCTGTAGGATTTAAAAGTCTAAAACCCCTTTAATTCACCTGACCTTGCACCATTGGACTTCCACCTCTTTCAAACAATGAAGTTATTTTTGAAGGGCAAGCATTTTTCAGATGATGAGACTCTGATTTCCAAAGTCACAACATAGCTTTTGGAGCAACCTGTTGACTTCTACAAGCGAGGTGTTTACAGTTGCTTAAAAAGATGGGAGAAGTGTGTGTCCCTAGGTGGCACACACTTCTCCCATCTTTTTAAGCAACTGTTATTAGGCCTTTTTAAATAAGGCTTAATAACGGTGCCAAATTTCATTGCTCTTTCCAAAGGAAGTGGGTCAGGGAAAATCTTTAATGAATGCCCCCCCGTACCTCAGGTGAACCAATTAATTTTGTTACAACTGTCAAATAAATCAGTAATTACTTTATTTGCAATAAACTGCAACATGTTATACTTTACTTTCACCATCCATATATTGTCACAGATTGTAGGTATAGGTAAAACTGTGGATTAGTGATAACAAATTGTTGGTGGCATCTGTTGTCTATTCAATCTCATCAATGAACATGTTGACAGAGCCAAATGACAAATTTGTATTATCCAGATCCTGCTCTGAATCTCTCTCTATGGACGAGAAATGCCATTTTGGAATAAATCTGTAAACACTCATATTATAAACCCATTGAAATTTTCTTTCTAGGGTCATTGCAAAATATCCGTGGTGAGATGTTTTTATCTTGAGATGAATGTGCTTTACTATGAAGCTGGCATTGGAGGAGACAGCAATGTTTACAACAGTACGCAGCGGGTTTTGAGAACGATTGAAAGATTTTTAGAAGGCAAACAGGTAAGTGTAATCTAGCGGAAAGTACATGTTATGCTATAGAAGCAGGCATGGTGCTTGCAACAGCCCCTTTGGTCTTGCAGAGCACTTTGAGAAGAGGCAGCTTCTTCCAGACAACAGAGAAAAGGCAAAGCAGAACTGATTTGGGATCTCTATGTAGTCACAGAATGTGTAGATGTTCCTCTGCGTAGCAATGTTTCTCACATTGTATTGACTTGTGACTTTATCTTTTTTCCACCCTATAATCTCAAAGCCTAAATTTGGATCAATCTGTTTCATTCTTTGGTCTCTTGAGTTTCTTGGCTTCTGAATTTATCCACTTAAAAAAAATCAAACCACTTCTGCTGTGTGCATATATGTGTTTTCCAACACTATATTTGGTACCATTATCCAGTTCTCTCAATTTATTTATTTATTTATTTACCTTCTTTATATCCCACCTTTCTCTACCCCAAGGGGGACACAAGGCAGTTTACAAGTGGCACTTACATAGTGCCTTAAAACATACAATACTAACTTTAAAATAAATTGGATTAAAATTAACATATATTAAGCATAATTAAATACATTCCAATGTTGAAAGCACACCATTACACAAAATCCCAAATTCTTGTGTAATGGGCCTATATAATTTATTTGATCCTACACTACAGATTATGATTTCAGTATTTTTTCCCCCCAATCAGTGGTAACTTTCCAAGAAACATGATTATTCTCTGTGACAGTAACAGGCACGAGAGAGAAGGTGGAATTGCTCAGCACCTACTTTTATTTATTTATTTACCATATTTGTATACCGCCTTTATCAGCCCAGAGGCGACGCAAGGCGGTTCACAGTTGACAACAATTTGATGCCACAACAATTAAAACAGTCATAAATACTATTAAAAACATTTAGTGTATAGTATAAAAACAGTACAAGGCCAAGTTAGGCCGACCTTGCTTAGCCTCAGTATTCTTCCAAAAGCAGGAGTCTTCATCTTGGCGGAAATAGATTGGATGATGCAGTAAGAGGACCAAAACCCAGAATAAATAAAGAGGTATTATAGGGATGCCTGCATGTGTGTGCCTACAATTTGCCTGTCGACTTAAGGATCCATGAATTTCATACGGTTTTCATAGACAACAATTACTCAGAGATGGTTTTGCCAGTTTCTTCCTCTTCATTATCACCTACAGCACCTAGTACTTGTTGGCAGTCTCTCATCCAAGTAGTAACCCAGGGCTGACCCCACTTACCTTCCAAGATGAGGCAGGATCCGTTGCCTTTAGGGTGTTTAGATACTCTATCATGAATAAATGAGTGCCCTAGAACAGGGTTTCTAAACTTGTCCACTTGGGATCTCTTTTGGCCCGAGACATTTATATGGTTCTAGGTGTACAGGTTTATTAAAAAGGTATAAAATTCAAACATTTACTGATAACAAATTGAATGTGCAAGGCTTGCTAAACAGACTGATCTTACTTTTTATGAAGTACAGCTGAATAATTATTTGCAGAGCCCACTGTAAATACTGCACAACAGATTTGTGTAAAAACTAGATGATGTTTAGAAAACCTTTACTGTTGGCTAACTTTGGGGATCCCAATACTGAGCTATGGGGACCCCATTTGGGATCAGGATCCACAATTTAAGAATCAGTGCCCTAGAAGACAGCTGCTCCTGGGTTTAGGCATAATGGCGCTGTGCCGGTTTCTTCTTATTGCCTTCTGTTATAAACAAATGAAGTATTATATGGTATTGATTATTTTAACCACGAAACTCTTCATGGGTGTTATCAAAATATCATCTTGATTTTTTAAAAAGATATTTTACTTTTATTTCTTTAAAAAAATTCACCACTGTTTTGAACACTGTTATTGTTACAGGGAAAGATCATTACAAATACTATAATAACTGAATTTCATCCTTTGAATTGGCTGTAAATTAGCTTTTCTACAAAAGGTAGAAGAGATCTAAAAACTGCAAAATGCTAGCAAAGTAATGCCTAGGTGTACTAGGGTATAGAGTTGGTTAGCTGAGAACCTGCTCACTCTGAACCAATAACTTAAGATTTCAGCCCATCCCAAAAGTCCTTCAAAAGGGTAAGCCTGGACACCTAAAACCCATTTTAGAACAGGCCTAATGGTAATACTTAAGATCGACAGATTTAGACTATGGTTGAAAAAACAAAAAACACCACATTCACTTTATGGAAGTTCATTACATTTATGTTCGCTCCTTAAATCAGTTTCCTGAATTGGAGCCCCCAGTGGTGCAATTGGCTAAACCGTTGTGCAGCAGGACTGAAGACCGACAGGTCAGAGGTTCGAATCTGGGGAAAGCATGGATGCGCTCCCTCTGTCAGCTCCAGCTCCCCATGCCGGGACATGAGAGAAACCTCCCACAAGGATGATAAAACATCAAAACATCAGGGTGTCCCCTGGTCAGTGTCCTTGCAGACAGCCAATTCACTCACACCAGAAGCATCTTGTAGTTTCTCAAATTGCTCCTGAAACACACACAAAATAATTCCCTGAAAAATGCTTCTCAAGATTAAGCAATTAATAAAATATTCTAAATAGTAGCTTTAGTAAAGATTACATTATTGGGAATTACTTTGTCAATTATATTTTTGTTGCTCTTCCTCTTTCAGCATTTTCATTATTTTACATGGGCGATGATATTTTTTAAACCTTTCATATTTACAGGAGAAAGAAACATCACAGTGCAAAGAATGTGAAAATTTTGAAGAAAAACAATACACAGAATTTATAGAAGATTTTCAGAATATTGTAAGGCAATTTCATAGAGAAGAGGAATAGAAAAAGTACGTAATTCCCCCCACATCACAAGAAGGAAATAATTTCAGTTGTTTCCTAGAAGAATGTAATGTGATCAAAATGAAACAAGGAGTGCAAAGGCTTTGCTAACCTGAGAATAATCTTGCAGTTTCTTGGTCTTTAGGATGCATTACAGAGATTGCCCATTTATATAACAGAACTGAGACTAGCACAGCATAAATAAATATACGAGTTTTTCTTGGACAGTGGTCAACCCAAGTAACCTAAACAATAAAAGTCAGGAGCAGAAGTACAATAATAGAATCATGGAGATGTAAGGGGCTATAAGGGCCATCCAGTGCAATCAGCAACCAAGCAGGAACACCCAATCAAAGCACTCCTGACAGATGGGCATTTAGCCTTTGCTTAAAAACCTCTAGAGATGGAAACTCCACCACACGATGAGGCAGTGTATTCCATGTCTACATGGACTCACCCTGACTTGACGCTCATGACTATCATTGAAGATTGCATTTCATCTCTTTGAATTTGGTTTAATCTGGGCTTCTGAGTTTTTAACAAGTACTAATAACAGAAAACTTCTGATGAAGCTACATGGTGTGAATCCAACATAAGGAGCAAAAATATATGAAGGATAAAGAATAGCATGTCACATAAAAATAGTTTTTGAATTTTAAAGTCATATTCCAATTCAGTATGTTCATAATGATTCCAGATGATTAAAAGGATCATAAGCCGATACTCAAACTCTCAGTATAATAAAATGCAATTATAGGACATAACTGGGGAAATCAATCAAGCTGTATGACGAGAAAATATATACAGACACAAGGAGAAGAAGAAAAGTGTGTATTTGGTATTCTATCAACATTTTAAATAGTTGCACTTTATTTGAAATAGGGCTCTATAAGAAAGTGATTTGAACTATGGAATAAATCCCATGTGGATACACTTGCATAAGATTGGGCTGTTTATTTTTAATGGTATATATAAATTTAGAAATAAACATTGGAAGCAAATATTGCTGAGCTTCTTTCTAATCACTTCCTATTTTCAGTAATTGTAAAGTTCAGTATGGGGCTTGTGTCTGTATAAGTGTGCGAGAAAATAATTTGAGCAGATATGCAATATCCATATTCAACAGGGGGCTGTGATGATATTATTGCATAGAAGGGTAAGTGGAGTGATGATTGTATATCAGGCACTCCCTGTGGAAATTGGGATACTAGTTAGGAAGTACCAATACACATGGGTAAAGCGCTAGATGTATATTGGGACACTCTTTTAGTGTTCTTTCGTAATTCAGTACTTAGTCTTGTAGCACCTCTGCTACATGGCTAAGTATGTATAAAGTTATGCAAGGGAGACCACACCATAGAACAGTGATCATTACTATTATTTTCCCTTCTCATAAGTGTATAATCACACAAGAATAATAATAAGCAATTAAGATTAAAAATGGGCGAATTAATTTATGGTTGTTGCTAATGATAACACCTATTCCCACAAAATTTTCTCTTTAATTTTTAAAAATACATACATACATACATACACACACACCCAAACCATAATTTTGCAGTTTTATATAAAGGATGCTATTTTACCCACACCATTGTATATAATGGGACTTGAGAATTTGAGAATCTATAGATATTCCTGGAATCATAGACTACAAAGGACCCATTGTTCTGACCTCTGCGTAAAGTAGTGTGGGACTAGGTTTTATGCCCCAAATCCACTTGGTCTCTTCCATATATGCAAGGTTCCCTATAAAGGTGTTTGCATATATTTTCTCAATGCCTGCATTTAGAGCCTTATCACATGAGCCTTCTCTCCCATTGTAATTGCATTGTCTATAAAAATGATATAAAATCACAATTGCTGTCTCTCCTTGGCCAATATATGGACCATTTGAAAATTTCAGCATCTGTTAGTACCAAAACCTTAATGGACACAGTCTAACTTCCCACTAGACTCTAACATTATCTCCATCCCTGAAGTTCCAGTAATGAAGAGACGGAACACAAGCAAACCGACCCCTACTTGAGTCCAGTGCCTATTAAAGGTTCTTGTTGGAGGACTCTCCCTCTCTCCTCTCATTCCTCCCCATATTTTGCAGTTATGGCATTATGAAAGCAAGCTCAGGAATTATCCATACATGGAAAGGGGCAAGTAGAAAGTCAAAGCCAAATCCTGTCTTCTCTCTTGTGTTTCCTTTCCACCACCAGTCCTATGCGTTCCAATCCTAAAGCAGCACTGGTGTGCATGTGTGCATATGTATGCCTGTGTGTGTGAGAGAAAATGGGGCATTACCACACCATAGCATTGTATTGTTGTGGCAACAAAGACTCCAGAAAGTGGCAGGATATCTCACCCAAAGCACATTCCCATTAACCACCCAAAATCTGCATAGCAGCACAATTGAACTTTCAGAGAGAAAATAATATAGTGTGACAGAAGCAGAAAAGGGGTTCAATAAAAGATTCCTTTTGTGTGTTAGTAATAAGAATCACAAATGCATATTAAAAATATTTCAAGTTGTAATGAATGAGAAAGACTTGCATGTAAAAAAGCCATGTGTACACATCTGCACTTATGTGTACGTAAGAGCTCTCTCTCTCTCACTCTCTCACTCTCTGTGTGTGTGTGTATACACACACAGACACACAGAGCAAGAGCAATAAGTATTTGAGGCATGAAGTGTTCTTTCTTTGGTCTACATTAACATCCTATACCATGACCTGCTTTCCTAGCAGAATTTACAGTGGCATTGCAGCCATATATGTTGAGCTATGAGTATAAACAACGATGAGGATTTTTCTCAATGCTTTTTACCAGATATGTGCAAAGTGTGAAATACTATTCTGCAGAGGAAGAAAGGAAACATTGGCTATTGTATTTTGTACATAAGTTTGGTCAAAAGCAAAATGTAGTATTCCATTTGTCTAGACTAGATTCATAGTGCTTTCATGGTAAAGAAAATACTATGTATTGATTTTTGTTTTAAAAAAATTGTGCTACTAATGAATTGAAAAAATTCCAAGCTATATATTTGAAAATTGAGCATTTATTACACATTAATTTTTCATAACAAAAAAGTAAATAAATGTACGCAGAACTACGTGTTGAACACAATGTAAAAAAAATATATATATTTCAGAGGGGTTTTTTGTGGAAAAAAGGTCACTGTAAATATAATAAATATTGTACTGAATATATCTATTGTCTGTGTTTTTAAAGAAAATAAAATTACCCACATTCTTATGTTCTCCAATTGTATTTTTCCCTTTTCTTATCTATAGTTGTTTATAGACTTTCTGATGGCTTAGGATTTAGTAAGCCTTTGTGTAGAATCTAGCATTGTACACACATTCAAACAGGATTGACAAAAGCTAAACAAAACAAAAAAAAACACAATCCTTTGATCACCTTTGATGAAATAAGGTCCTGGAAGAATTGGATTGATAACAACCCAAACTCTTGTCATCATGCTTTTAAAGCAATTTGGAGAAATATGATTTCAATATGAAAGGAAGGCAGAAGAAACTGAAATAGACCTTTTATGAAAACAGAGCCAGATCAAACCTTTGCTTTAAAATATAGGATTATTTATTACTTAATACCATGAAATTGGTTTGAGAAGTTAGGTACATACGCACACTTAATTATCCTTCTATGTGTGAATTATCTTTTTCAGGTGCTGTAAGGGTTGACATTCTCTTCCTCTCTCCTGACTTATTATAAACTCATCCCAAATGGCCATTCTGTGCTTTATAGGTGAATGAGCAATACTGGAAATCCTTCAGGGGATTCTGGTACCACTGAAATCTTTATCTGTTTGTCTATAGATATGTAATCAGATACTAAATCCCTGTAGTTCTGTCTACTTGCCATGAACCATAGACTGGCCATATGATGTTTATTAGGCCTGGGTAACAACGGAAAAATTTGTTTCTAAAATCGATTTGTATTTGGGTTTTTTTTTGTTTCGATATTTAAAATAATTACAAAATTTTCCTTTTAAAAAGTTCGATATTTACGAAATTTCGTAAATGGTAAAAAATTAACGAATCGATTTCCGAAACAATAACGAATCGATTCGTTAATGGCGGACGCGACCGCGAAATACGCTAAAAAACCTCCAAAACCTTCTGAAGCTTCCCTCTCCCTCTGTTGTTGACTGTTGGTGTGATATTATAAATTTTTTTCACTAATTAAACCATAAAACTGGCCCAGACATGCGGAAATAATAACGAAACGACCTCAAAACAATAACGAAACGAATACAATATCGAAATACGAAGCATTTACAAAACGTTTTTGAAAATTCGTTTTAATAATTGCTCCAGAATGGTTCGTTATCGTTTTGTAATTGAAAAAATTAACGAATTATTAACGAATTACGAATTAATGAAACGAAACCTCCCAGCCCTAATGTTTATCTATCATAAACTATTAATACTTGCTATATGAATTACTTAGGTGATCCCTCGTTGTCCAAGTATGATGGCCATCCAAGTGTTGTGTCTCGGTGATGGATATGTAGGTGACTGTGGAATCGTAGTCTTGATTCGCATGTTCTTCCACAGTGAGGACATCAGTTTCCAGTGGAAGGCAGTCCCAGTCAGGGTTATCTTGATGTGCATTCCTCTTGGCACATTTATCCCATTCGTCCTCCATTCGTGCCTCTTTGATTTACACAGCACTGCTGGTCACAGCACTGCTGGTCCAGTTAGAGCACTCAAGTGCCAGGGCTTCCCAGTTCTCGGTAATTATGCCACAGTTTTTAAGGTTAGCTTTAAGCCCATCTTAAAATCACTTTTCCTGTCCACCAACATTCCATTTTCCATTCTTGATTTGGGAGTATAGTGACTGCTTTGGGAGATGGTGATCGGGCATTTGGACAGTGTGGCTATGTGACTACAATTGGTTTGACTAACAAACTTTCTTGTTTTGCTCCTTGATTGCTTCTCCTTAGAAGCATAACCTAAGGAAAATGCCTTTTTAAATAACTTCTGAGTGTACCTTTATATACAAACATACAAATAGTTTTTTGAGGTAGATGGATTGTAAAGCTTATAGAGATAGCGGCCTATGTGGAGCTCGAAAGAAAGCAAGGAATCCTGCCACATATACTACAATACATCTTTGAGTTGTGTCAGGTAATGTACACAGAAGTATCAATCAACCATACAGCTACAATCCAGCACAGAATGAAGCAAACTTGAGACCTTTGATGTAGTTTCCCGATGCTTTTTCACTTAGTGTTCACTTAACGTTGTCAACCTCCAACAGCCAACCAGTTATAAATTGCTGTGAGCGCAATTGTGGGAATATCAACTTTTCACCTGCTTCTTCAAACACATAATAACCATTGCAGCTTTCAGGGACAAACTCTGAAAGGGGAGCACAAGAACTCTGTGCACTGTGTTTGACTTTATGTTCATAGCTCTGCATGATTTCTCAATGTTGCTGCTAATCTGAGGACTGCTGAACAATTCTGGATTTAATACAATCCATATCAAACCCAGAATTATTTGAACTTCTTGCACCTCCACCGGGTTGAGAGTTACTTGTAAGAGAGTTTGCCAATTGGATAATTAAGTTATCAAATAGCCCCATCACAGTTCCTGGGTTATTTGCTATGATTACATCCCATTTTAAATTAGAAATGGAGAGCTGTTCTATAAAGGCCTTAAAAGTGGCCTCGGGTTGTGACCACCATTTCAACAATGTATATGATTCATATTTTGCAGATTCAAAGTTGGAAATAGAGTCAACAAGAACAAAAAAAAACTAAAAGAAGATGTATTGTCGAAGGCTTTCATGGCCGGAATCACTCAGTTCTTGTGGGTTTTTTCGGGCTATATGGCCATGTTCTAGAGGCATTTCTCCTGATGTTTCGCCTGCATCTATGGCAAGCTTCCTCAGAGGTGAGGTCTGCTGGAGCTGGGAAAAAAGGGGTTTATATATCTGTGGAATGACCAGGGTGAGACAAAAGGCTTTTGTAAGTTGGGTTGGGTGTGAATCTTTCAACTGACCACCTTGATTAGCATACAATGGGCTGACTGTGCCTGGAGCAAACTCTTCTTGAAGGGTGATTAGATGTCCCTGCCTGTTTTTCTCCTGCTGTTTTTGCTGTTGCAATTTTAGAATTTTTTAATACTGGTAGCCAGATTTTGTTCATTTTCATGGTTTCTTCCTTTCTGTTGAAATTGTCCACATGTTTGTGGATTTCAATGGCTTCTCTGTGTAGTCTGACATGGTGGTTGTGAGAGTGGTCCAGCATTTCTGTGTTCTCAAATAAAATGCTGTGTCCAGGTTGGTTCATCAGGTGCTCTTATTGAGAACACAGAAATGCTGGACCACTCCAACAACCACCATGTCAGACTACACAGAGAAGCCATTGAAATCCACAAACATGTGGACAATTTCAACAGAAAGGAAGAAACCATGAAAATAAACAAAATCTGGCTACCAGTATTAAAAAATTCTAAAATTGCAACAGCAAAAACAGCAGGGAGAAAAACAGGCAGGGACATCTAATCACCCTTCAAGAAGAGTTTGCTCCAGGCACAGTCAGCCCATTGTATGCTAATCAAGGTGGTCAGTTGAAAGATTCACACCCAACCCAACTTACAAAAGCCTTTTGTCTCACCCTGGTCATTCCACAGATATATAAACCCCTTTTTTCCCAGCTCCAGCAGACCTCACCTCTGAGGAAGCTTGCCATAGATGCAGGCGAAACGTCAGGAGAAATGCCTCTAGAACATGGCCATATAGCCCGAAAAAACCCACAAGAACTAAAAGAAGATGGTCACTTATGGCAAAGTCATCAATGATAAACTAGGAAATTGAGCTCAAAAGGTGAGGGGATATCAGAACATAATCTATCACACTACAATCCCTGGCTGAAACATAATCTATCACACTACAATCCCTTCCCATCTGCATTGGGAAACTTTGATGAGCCATTAAACCAAAGTTGGCTAAAGCACAATGCGAATTTAGCTAAATTTATTTATTTATCGTATCAGAGTGAACCAAGGATACAGTTCCAATGCATTTAAAAAGGAACACAGACTTTTAAGAAAACCTTGTCATTGTTTTAAATGTCCTTTGACCAGTAGCTGCCTCTGGTGCTGATGCAAGAAGGTCCTTCATTGTGCATGTGGCAGTGCTCATACTGCATTGTAATAGGTGGACTGTGGTTTGCTCTTCTCCATATTCACATGTCGTGGACTCCACTGTGTGGCCCATGTCTTAAGGTTGGCTCTGCATCTTGTGGTGCCAGAGCGCAGTCTGTTCAGCGCCTTCCATGTTGCCCAGTCTTCTGTGTGCCCAGGAGGGAGTTTCTCATCCGGTCACAGCCACTGATTGAGGTTCTGGGTTAGAGCCTGCCACTTTTGAACTCTCCCTTGCTGAGGTGTTCCTGCAAGTATCTATGTAGATCTTAGGAAACTATTTCTTGATTTAAGGCATTGGCGTGGTGCATGATATCTGAACAGAGGATGGGCCAGAGATGTCACTACTTTGGTCCTTTCACTTTTGGCTGCTACTTCCCAGAGGATGTCAGGTGATGCAATACTGGCTAAACAGTGTAATATTTCCAGCGGTGTAGGGCACAGACATCTTGTGATAATGCGGCATGTCTCATTATGAGCCACATCCACTGTTTTAGTGTGGTGAGATGTGTTCCACACTGGGAATGTGTACTCAGCAGCAGAGAAGCAAAGTGAAAGGGCAGATGTCTTCATTGTATCTGGTTGTGATCCCCAGGTTGTGCCAGTCAGCTTTTGTATGATATTGTTTCTAGCACCCACTTTTTGCTTGATATTCAAACAGTGCTTCTTGTAGGTTACAGAATGGCCCAGGTAACTCCCAGGTGTTTGGATGTGCTGCAATGCTCCAGAGGGATTCCTTCCCAGGTAATCCTAAGAGGTCGAAATGCTTGTCTGTTCTCAAGCACACGTCTGTGTTTTAGATGGATTAGGAATCATCTGTTTTTCCCTGTAATAGGCAGTAAATAGACTCAGATAACCCAGTTCAAAGCAGATATTGTGGGATTTTCTGTCTTGATATTCTGAGATATAGGGGTGTGTGAAAGGGCCCTAAGAATGTATTTCCCATGCAGCCCCCACATGTACTGGTACAGGAAAACCTCAGCAACCTCACAATTTCTGTTTGTGTAGAAGAACTCCCAGGGCCCTTCCACACAGCCCTAAATGTGTTTTGCCATTGGTGAGTTGCCTTCAAGCAATTGCTAACA